GTAGAATCATTAGGCTCGTAACTCTTGGCCGAATAATGAAACTTGCCTGTTTTCGCTTCCGCTCTTCCTCTTCCTTCATTAGCTTCTCCTGTTGTGCTCGACGTTTGGCTCTTTCTATTCGGTTCTTCTCGTCAATCCATGCCTACCAATGTGTGGACAGTTGAATGTATTCATCGTTAGTTCCGCCGATTTTTATATTTTCATTAGAGATAAACAAATGATGAACTGCTAAGCCGCAGACAACATATTTGCTATAGGTTAATTGCCAAATCTTTCTTATGGGTCTACTCACCTTGCCTTGGTGTGCACAATCGATCGGGATTACCACGGCAACCAGAAGAATAAACAATCGTTGTCTTTTACGAACCCAATTTTTGTCATGCATTCCTAATGAGGTATCATAACGCCACTGATGCAATACTATCTACGCAAATCCACATGACGAACTAGATGGTGATTCACCACAGATCATTTATTGATAGCTGGTCAGTAGAGAACATGTTAACATTGAAATCCTAATGGAATATGTTCTTTGTGCATGAAGAGCAACACACTTCTAGCTCGTCCAATGCGACTGCTTTGATCGATATGGAAATATTGCCAATTGCTATGAATAACGAATTGCAACTGTATACTCTTTCAGTTATCATCATCATTTAGCTAACTAAACGCATCACGAACAATGGGAAAATCCGAAGTCGTACTACATGCCAGTTAAAATTTATTTATTTCACTGCATTTTATCAGCAATCAATGTAGTATTGATCGACGGGCAGCGCTCAACATTTGTTTGCCGCTGTTGGTATTCAAAACTGCTCGAACACGTGAATCTTATACACCTAGAGCTTGGATTTGTAATTAATACGGGTGAATCGAATAGCTTAGTGTCGGTTTACGGATCACTATATTTTTCTCCTCACTCACGCCAATTTTGAAAGTCACGTCTGTAGACCCAATGTACATAGCAGATAGCACCAGACAAATAAAATACTTGATAAAAAGGATTCGGCCACCAGGGCTCACATGATAATGTCCGCGTTTATGAGAGATTCTTCACACCTGATTATCCAGATGACTTGAGCACAAAAAATCATGTGGTATTGGTCCACCTTGGCTCATTTAACGGCAGGATGAAGTGAGAGGAGGAAAGCACCTAATTATAGTAACGCAGGTGCTTAGATGCTTGTTCAGAAATTCATGAAATTTCAATTGCTCTGAAATTTACTTGTAATATAACCAACGTCCTAGCACTCGTGTAGAACTCACTACTGCTTGTTATCAGTGGGTTCGGATAACTATCGTTCATGATTTTAACTCTTTGTCCTCTAGATTCCATTTTTATGGGCAACCCTCACTTGGTGTAGTCAAAAATATCACGAATTCATAAATGGACATCATGATGAGTTAGATCATAGCTCCTCAATGAGGAAAACCTTTAGACTAATGCACTACAAAAACGTGAATAACTTTCAAGCTACCCCCAGATCGATTCGATACCAAAGAATAGTCATTTGATAGTGCACGAAGAGTTTATCGGTTGAGTGATGGGAGTAAATCTGCTCCGGGTTTCAACAAATAAAGTTGGATAAAAATAATTAAATTGGATGCGAAAAGTGAGTGACAATATTAGTCAAGAATTTATGTGAAGGTCAACAAACTCCCAGGGAGTAAGACTCTTACGATTACTTCAATAAACCCTTTCTACGTCTATGAATTCCCATTGTTTAGAACGAAAATATACTAGGTGCAAATAGCATTTGAGCTTTTGCGATAATCAATGACAATGGTTCGGGAAAAAGGTGAATTCCACCCAATATATACCTGTCTAGGTGCATGTGAAATGAATTATTGGAATACACTGAACATGCACATGTAGTTCGGTGGCATAACCTACTTTTACCGCATTTAGCTTCGAAGCTTCATCCAGTGTGGACTTTTCATCCCCAGTAGACGGTTGCCAGGCTGTTTTTGGCCGTGAACGCAGCACAATAGGAAGTGTTGATTCCGAATTGAGTGAAGATTTTCCCGTACGTTTGCCGGTCCCTTTGACATTTCCTATCCCATATACCATGGAGGAAACTCTCACCGTCTCGGCCGACTTCGGTCGTGCCTTGTTTGGACTGGNAGTGTCTTCTGTCAAGTGCAGTTAACGAACGAAAATTCCTAGGTGGGTTTCTCACATCATCATCATCATCGTACAGCGAAATACCGTGAAGCGAACTTCACTGACCTCTGCCAAACTCACAATGCATACAAGGTTAGTGGTAAAACTTAAGGTGGACAGGGGTTGGATCTATTTTGAGGAAGGGAGAAGATGAGCCACAAGGTCAACACAGAGTATGCAATCGAATTCTGCATACATACCGTTTCAAGCATTCTGACCTGATAAGAAACGACAACAAGAACGCCACTGCTGCCGGTTCGCTGCCATATCCTTCAGTGTCTCCAACCAACCAGTTGTGGAGTCTTTCGGACCCCAACCTGGAAGGTGAGAGACACCTACTCTACCTAATGGTTCTGTGCCTTTCTTTATGCCTCGTTTCCACGTCATCTGTTGACCTCCGCGTGGTTTCCTCCAGCCCGGATTAGCTACAGCGAATAAAGCGCGGTGCGGCAGACGATGGCTGGGCATACGCAATACGTGCCCTAGCCACCGAAGCCTAGTAATCTGAATTCGGTATGCTAGCAGGTTTATGCCTGACAGACTCCCAAACACACGACGGCTTACCTCCACGTTACTAACCCGTTCGCTCCATCCAACATGGGCTAAACTGCGTAAACACCGATAATCGAAAACTTCTAGTTGACGGATATCTTCTACTCGCAAATTCGGGGTCTCACAACCATAAAGCAGGACTGAACGAACGCTAGCACAATATACACGACGTTTCAACTTCAGTGAACCGTCGCGTCTACGCCAAAGGTGTTTCAGTCATGCGTATGCTGCTCTCACAAAGTTATGCGAAAAGAAAAGATATTTCGTTAAATTTAAAATCAGTTTTTTTGCGACGTTCAATTGTTCTTCCGGCGATACGTTACAATTTTTCACAGTAAGGAGCTTCATCGACCTGCTCATCTTCCTGGTATCAAAATACACATTATTTACAATGCATCTAATTATATGCCTTTTCTCCGTTCAACTCCCTTGAAGAAATACAGGCTGGAAAAAGAGTTCAATTTAATATTAGTTTTCACAACCAATTTACTAAAAACGTATATTTTCACGACATCCTTATAGCAATATATACTTGGTATTCTTTTTTCTTCTTGAGAAATGAAGAATATATTCACTAGATGCCATTTCGATCCACTGCTTTAGCCCTGTGACCTTGATATCATTGTGTTGTCTTGCCCACGTTCAAATCATAGCTGCAAACCTATTTGAATTCATTTCAGCAGTGAACACTTTACACATCTTCGGATACCGTGTTACATTATCCATGTGTATTTTGTATTCTCGTCTGTCATGTAGACAATAGCGCGTTATCCTGGACCATTTTATTGGTGTCGTTACTGGAATTGCAACACTACTCCATCTCAGTCATATTCACTTAAACGAGTCACGTTAGTAGCTCAGTTATATTTACAGTATGATGCATAGTCCGCCATAAAAATTCATACTGGCGCAGATAAACACGATCAATTAGCATTTCAGATCTAACATACGAGGTGAATGAGTCAGTTCACAACTACCCGCGAGCTGTGGTGCGAGGAAATTAGAAATCGGCTTCTGATTGGATATTCATTGGATACGATATTCGTACGCGATTCACAGTCGCTCCAATCAACCTTCAGTCATTTATCAATAGTGCACTCACCTGCCACCGTTAAATGTCGCGTTACCGGTACGGTTGCTTAATGTGAAGTGCTATTGTGTGGTCAACTATTTCTTCATGCATTGGCTGCCATGCTAAACACTGACGCAACGGATTTACAAAAAATTATACCACCCTGATGGGCACAATCATCGGAGAGGGATCCTTGTCAATCAGTGTCTTGAGTACGAATCCCATAACCAACCCAGTTAGTCGGAATCAAATGAAAACGATCTACGCGTGCGTAGATCTCTATATGGTTCGCTTGAGAACACACCTTTCCGATTGACGGCTCGACTTAAATTCAAGCCCCAATAACTGAGTGCTTGCTTATTTTTTCTATGACTCAGTCGAGAAGTACGACCGGGCTATTTTCGCTTGTACAGGTGTATGCACTATGGAAACGTGACCGTAATGCGCTCCATCTGTCAAACAATCATTCATTAAATGTCTAGGAACAGCTAATCGGTTCAGAGGTCTACTTGAGGAAATACTGCATGATAATATCTTTCATAATCATTACAAAGATAAAAATATCAACAGAATATGTTAACTACGGGTAATACACCGAAAAATAAAGCCACGTGTTTCGCCAGAGACAAATTTGCACCAAATGCAGTACTCCACTAAATGGAAAAAGTGTTTAAATTTTAATCGAAACCAATCAGAAACAAAGTTTGATTGATTGATCCGCCAAAATCCACAGCTAACACAAAGCTTACATGGTGCTCATGATGCATTCCGAAACGGAGGATCATTTCTCTAGGTCAGGAAATCCGAATCCAGCAACACAAGTACGGTGCATAGTTAATGTGAATAAAACGAGAAAAAACAGAACCTGAACTGCGAAGAAATGCGATTTGTTTGCCTGGTCAAATTGAAAATATTGTCTATTCATTATTAAAAAAATTAATCAAACGAGAATAGATGCAGGTCGAAATCAGATACTATATAATAGGATACAAACTAATCTGTTCAACTTGTCTATTTCCCACACGCCCGTTGGACGGCGCCAAATGTTTAGGTTGTCCAATGCACCTCGATGCCAAATGGAGCAGGTGATCGCGCCAGAAGCACGAAAGCGTTTTAGTCTGCAATCAGGGTTTTCAGCCAACTCTCTCAATTGAACTACCAGTGGCTCATTCATCTGGATATTGTCCCAGATGAAAATGAATCTCGATTTAATCATGCGACTCGTTTGATTCTTTTACAAACCAAAATAGGGAAACGACCCACTACTTAGAATCCAGAATGAATGTTTTGTCGACAAATGACGTCAATTTTGATTTGTTTGTTTAAATTTTGGGGTTGGATACAGAAAAGGATGCATTCACGCCACTGAATTTGGTTCCACGCCGTATTCCGTAGTGTCTCCAACCAAAGAAAGTATGAATCTTTGGGGTCCTAGCCGGAAAGCCATGGGGGAACCCAATTTCAGCCCAATCTGTTCAACTTTCAAATAATTGCATGTTTATTTTGAGCTTACAAGTAGTACAATTCTTCCTGACACCTGATGTTTTCACTTTTCAACCGTGATTACTTCGTCTATTCTTCGTATCCAAGTTTCAGCCCTTTGATTTATGAACGCGTCCGTCTTCGAGCTCAGCGCTTCCTAAAATAATCAATTACTAAGCTCCCTTGTGAACAACTCGTCACCGATTAATTGATGTTGGTTTGAAATCTCGTCCGCCAAATTTTATTGCCCTTACCAAATCCCGCATGAACTAAGGGCTTAACTTGACAATGGCTTATGACGCTTTTCACAACTGATCTGTAACATTTAGACGGATAAATGACCCTGACGGTTTACTGTTTGATGAAATCGGTAATGTGATGGATGCACGACCGACAGTCCAGGGTGACAGGATATCTACTTGTATGGGATGCAGTAACCATGGGCGAGAAAAACATCTTTATTGTCCTTCAACATAAGGATATTATCGTATTCTGAGAATGTGCGACGCCCATGACCACAACCAAATCACTGTTTACCACACGATGGTAACACCGTTCCTCATCGACCAAATTTTTTTAGTGAATACAGGTAGAGGTTGTGGCTTGAATTCTCCCATGGTCAGTATGCTGAATAAGCTGGCAAAGTGTTTTAGTTAGAACATGGT